CTTGTTTAGCCAGCATACCGCATACAAATCCAACTGACCTGAGATGCCCAACTCTGATGTGTCTGGCAGCCTTAGCGAACATGGACTGTTGGTGAGGAAAATGTGGTTATGAAGCATGAAAATAGAGTGACTGAAATGAACATGGACAGTTGGTGAGGAAAATGTGATTATGAAGCATGAAAATAGAGTGACTGAAATGAACATGGAATGTTGGTGAGGAAAATGTGGCTATGAAGCATGAAAATAGAGTGACTGAAATGAACATGGAATGTTGGTGAGGAAAATGTGGTTATGAAGCATGAAAATAGAGTGACTGAAATGAACATGGACTGTTGGTGAGGAAAATGTGGTTATGAAGCATGAAAATAGAGTGACTGAAGTGAACATGGACTGTTGGTGAGGAAAATGTGATTATGAAGAACGATGAATAGTGAAATGAACGATAAATAGAAAAATGAATGATGAATAGTGAAAGGAATGATGGTATGCGAGTTATTCTTGATGGTATACGAGTTGTTCTTGATGGTATGCGAGTTATACTTGATGGTGTGCGCGTTGTTCGATCTTGATGGTATACGAGTTGTTCTTGATGGTATAAGACTTGTTATCGATGGTTTACGAGTGGTTGTTAATGGTATACGAGTTGTTCATGATGGAGAAATAATCACTTAATGAGCGCAGAGTGAATAATTAACATTGAGTAAATAATATACGTATCAGCCTTAACGCTCTGACCTGTGAGTGAGAGACGAGAAACATTCAATATGGCCGCTATAAAGCATTGTGTAATGTACATATTACACCGTAATGTCATGTACGAGTATATTATATAATTATATATACAATGTATAAGACAATGCAATGTTATATAAATGTATATGATATAATATGATATTATGTACATTTATATTATATAATTATATATAAAATTTATGACAATGTAATGTTGTGTACATTTATATAAATACAATGTATAGGACAATGTAATTGTATATAAATGAAAATTATATATTCTATTATTTAACGTATTGGACAATGTATACATACTACAAATACACTATATATCTATTGTAAGCTTTTCAATGCAGCTATATAGACTATTATACCTTGTTCCACAACAACAGGTAACGAAGCTGGACACACATTGTCCAAAAATATGTAGAAGTGCGATACGAAAAGTAGAAAGAAGTATATTTGAAAAATGGACATTAATTCCTCCTTGCCACCGTAAGACCAAATTAATAAATGATGTTTATATAAGATTTACGTTAAGAACAACTTAGCTTTACGTTAAGCTTAAGGAAGCTTTACGTTAAGAACAACGCCGGCTCTTTATTCGTCGCTTATCCTTTGGAAATTCCAATGGCGGATATGGCTTCGTGAATCTTAGCATTCATTCATTGCATTTATTGATCAATTCATTCACCGCGTTTATTGTTCAATTAATTCCTTCACTATTAAACTGTATGAATGCCGTCAACACGCACCGACTCGTCCAATTGAAGTTAGCTTCAATTTAACCACAGCAGAATTAATGCACATATTTAATCTATTAATATCAATTTATTATCAATCTTCCATCATTTATTGTTAATCTACATAATAACGCGCGCGTTAAACCAATCAATAGATCGACTTACGCTTAAAGTGAAACCCTAGATGATTTGCAGTGCACAATAAAATAATGATAAAGGGACACGCGCAAAAAAATCTAACGGTGATTTGTAATTATTGCAAAACTTGACATTAAATTTTACGATATTTATATTAAATAATAGGCCATTGATAGTAACTGATTTTATATTTCAAACAATAAATGTGTTTGTATACCATCAATTGACAACTATATAAATACTAGGCATCTGGGCAGTTGAATTAAAGAATTGTTATGATATTTGACTGTACACAACGAGCGCAGCGACTGTACAGCATGACTGAGTGACTGTTGAGCGACTGTCACTGTTTGCTGCCGTCATCTGTTGCTGTTAGCTGTTGTTCTCGCCTCTACTAATGGATGCATAAAATTCAACTTATTAATTTTCAATGAAATTTTATTGATGACTAGTGAACAATAAATTAACACTAATTGTTCTACTTATTAACTAAAATGACTCCATCAACGATAATTACTTATATTAATAATTTTATACGTTTATATTTATAATTTTATACCTGGATCTTTATACTTTATCAAAGATAAAGTATAGAGTAAGTAAAGATAAGTATTAAAGTAAAGTATAAAGTAGTCTTCACGATGAGACGCCAGCAAATATTTAGTTTATTAATTGTATTAATTAATTAACTAAATTAGTTAATTAATTTGGGTATTAATTGTTAGTTAATTGGGCTGTATTAATTTCTAATGTTTTGATTCGCACGGAAAATATCGGCAGTAAAAATCTGACGCAATTAATGCAGTTACTGTGAGTCATCCAGCGTATTCAATGCAGTTACTGCACGAACATACGCTGTAATACAGCCTCGTATACACGCTATAAAGGGCTCTCTCTGTATAATCTATATGATATAGTACAGCCTCGTATATACATTCTATAAGCGCGCCTCTCTGTATAGTCTATACGCTATAATAAAGCCTCGTATATACGTTATAAGCACCCCTCTCTGTATAGTCTATACGCTATAATACAGCCTCGTATATACACGATATAAGCACCCCTCTCTGTATAGTCAATACGCTATAATACAAGTAATCGCTATTGACGGCACACAAAGCGAACGCTGACAAATGGTACGTGTGCCCTTTGTGCATGTTCCCTGAGATGTGCTGCAGCACATGATGGTGATATATATGGTGTTGCTCCAACCCATTTATGGTGTGCTGGTAGCAATTATGGACGGCATATCGGCAGCCAGCCATGAGCCGTCCAAAGCCGCTTGTTATTTCATACAATATTACAGTGTGAGTAATAGTGATATATTATACAGCTATTGTGGTGCTTCGTTGTACTGAAGTGATACTTACGGGCGCGTTTTCGGTGGCCAGTGATTGATTAACATTGAATTATCGATCACTTTCAAAAGGGGACCGCTAGCTGTTCGTTTATAATTCAATTATTGATTAGAAATTGCCAAATGTAGTGCCTGGAAATGGATATATTCGCGTACATTATTCACCATACATTTTTGCCCCGACTATATAGTGCATGCAGTCTTGTGAAGTTGGTTATTGGTTGAGATGTATTCAGCGTATAAATGGGCAATTTCGATATATAATTAATGATAACTTTAATTCTGCACAAAAATTGCGTTATTCTGATCGAGACAGTGATCAGCAGAATAAGATATATACATTGCAGGGTTTGTAAATGACGCATATACGCAGCGAAATTTATTAAACTATATAATTCATTTATAGTTCGATTCTAACTTTAAAGTTATTCTCGTCGTCTTGAAAACTTGAATTTTAATTTTTTTATTTTAAATTTATTTAAAATAATTTAATTGTGTGCATGAGCGTTTGGAGGGACGGGTTATACGTGAGAATTTCACATACCCGTGAATTCTTCAACTCAAACCAAAATATATTTATTGGTTGCATCTTATGAGATAAAATAATGAGAATCAGTTATTTCGGCTACTTAATTGCAACCGAGATATCAGTCACCTTTACGATTCATGCATAAGTAAAATAAATAAAAAACATTAAATTTGGGCACTTTGTTAGAAATGTTCCAAATCTAAATATGCTACAGTCAAGTTTCCAAGCTGAGTCACACGACTGATGCTCAACTGGCCCCGGCATTCTGGTACGATCCATCCCAATGCTTATTATACTGCCTGGCATGTAGTAAGAGTTTGTAAAGCGTTAATTGACTTGGCACGCATTACAAAAGCTAAGCGTTTGTGTGATGAAGTTTCCATGCATAGAGAATGCTAGTTTTATTTCATCATGAACGAGTTTACAGCCAAGGTTCCTTCAAAGTATAATGTGATAAGTTTCCAAACCTGATATTTCGAGTATTCATTTATTTTATAGTAAGGCCGAAGCTCAGCAGAAGTTTTTCTCCATAATCTTTTCTCATGACCAAGGTTCTCAGTGCAGCAAGCAAAGCAAGAACTCTGTAGTACAGAAGTTCTTTTCCCCATACCATGTGTACGTCGAGCAAGGTTCTCAGTGCAGCAAGCAGAGCAAGAACTCTGTAGTACAGAAGTTCTTTTCCCCATACCATGTGTACGTCGAGCAAGGTTCTCAGTGCAGCAAGCAAAGCAAGAACTCTGTAGTACAGAAGTTCTTTCCCCCATACCATGTGCACGTCGAGCAAGGTTCTCAGCGCAGCAAGCAGAGCAAGAACTTGGCCCAGCCAAAGAAGTTGGTGTCATTTTTCACGCCTTCTTCTCTGGCCGGTAAACTTCTTAGTCCGGAATCCCGTCAGTCACGGCAGGTCGGAGGCGCGAATCATGGCAATAGCTGCGGCATCACACACGGCATCACACACAGCACCATAAGCGGAGGTGTGCAGCCGAGTCATGTTAAGTATTGCTCCTCTTGCGCCCTCATGCTCAGTTAAAGCCTCTTAGACGTTCTCTTCAACTGTTTGCTATTATGGGGCTGTTAGCGAAGCCAGATTACAAGGGGAGGTGAGTGCAAGGGGAGGTGGAGGAGAAAGGGGTGTACAAGGGGAGCGAAACTAATCCTACTTCTGGAATCAAGCCTGCCAAGATAAGTGCAGCAAGAAATAAAAAAGGTCATACATTTACCTTTCTCCTCGCCAAACTCCGGCTGTTTAAGTGCCATCATTCAAACGTCTTGCAGCCAATGAGAGGCGCTCCAAAAGGAAATTATTCCGCAACTCCTCCTCACTCCAGCTGTCTGCCAATAGCTGGAGTGGCTGAAGGACTTCCAGCAAAAAGTGGCGGTCCAGACCAACGGCAGGAACGGACCGGCCTCGCGCTCTTGTGGCGCAGAGATGGCGTTGTTGTGGCCAGCCAATGGGGCGCCGCCTTGGACCTGGACGCTTGGATTGCGGGCGGTTGCCAGAAACATCCAGCCGACCGCTGGAAGCTAGACTGGAGTGGGCCATTGATTGGTGAAAACTAAGAGCATAAGAGTTGGTACGCTACGGACACACAGCTCAGTGCTTTACGTGTGAGCGGATAGGAAGGATAGACGTTTGTTGTTGTTGTTTGTTGACTTTTGGCGGCCACACAGACCGATCTTGCTCCGAGGCGCCACATTCACTGGGCATCTATACAGCATTTTTACTGGAAACTTTTTACAAGCATCAATCATGTTGACGGTAAGTGAAAAACATTTAGTATAGCATACGATGGAAATTTTGTGTAGCCTTTTATAGCATTTTCCAAGATTAATCGGTTCTTGTCCGCTGCACAAGACAAGCAGACTGTGCCCAAGCTAGTATCTCATGACGAAAGTTTTTTACATGCAATTATGTACGAGTATTGACTGTTTCTTGTGTGAAGGATTCTACTAAACTTTTTAATTATTGCTATTTGGCGTCTTGAAAATATTGTGTAGATTCTAATGCCGACGAATTCAATAAATCTATTTAAGATTCAGAATAGCGAAAGTTATGCAGCGTCGGGACATGAACTGTAAGGTCGGAAATCGGCGGTAAGGTTACGGCAGTTCATATATCAGCCTTCATATAGAGTGCAATGTATGCGGCTTCAAAGTGGTTTGAGAAAAATTTTACTGGTGTTGGGGAAGCTGTGATCAGTAGCGCCTAAATTATTTTTAGGTTTTAGCCTGGAAGGTTTCGGGCAAATTTGCATAAATGGTTTCGAATATATAATAGAATAGAAGTGTCGGCATTGAAGAAATAGGCCTATAATGTTGGTTCAAATTTAATTTTTTATTCAACTTTAGCCTACATTGAGTCGAATGACTAGGACGATATATCGAAATTGCCTAAAATACTGTATTGACCCGTCTATTTTAAACCTATTCTGTTCAGGGCTGGCAGTCCATATTAATATTCCACTCTATCAAGTCCAATATAGTTAAAGATTAATGTCGATATCGAACCATATATGAACAGACAGATATTAAGAGAAGTAATTCCACTATATATGCTTAGTAATGGCAGAGGTGCTGGAGGCTTGAATTGAGGACATGTTCAAATGTCCAAAAATTCTCTTCTTTCGAGTAATAAATTACCTGTTAGCATAGTTATGTTTGTATCAGTTTGATGTCTTTCTGAATAAAAGTATATGCATGCTTGATTCAGCGCGCATTACCTAACTAGGAATATAGGCAGATTATTGAAGTGAGTAAATGCAGTTATTGGATTAGGTTGTGAAATTTATTTCGGCTCATATATTAATTAAATCTTGCGTAGTTTTGTGTCGAATAAGCCATTCATGAAGAAAGTTAAGTGAAGAAATGCCCTACAATGTTATGAGAAACCTGCTGAATTAGAACAATGCAGAGTTAATTTGTCTTTGTCGAAAGCTAAAACTAATTGTATTTGGAGAGAGCCTATATTAAATTGTATTTAAATAGATCATTTAAAATTCTCTTTAAAGAAATATTTTTAAATTTTTAAGAGAACTTGTCGATTATTTTTGAAGAGCTTATCAAATTGTCTTCTAAAATGATCTTTCTAAATAGCCTTGTGAAGAGTGTTTTATTGAATGTCTATAACGAGAGCTGTGTGAGAAAGATTTTCTGTCGTGGAAAATTGCTATTGGGCAGAAAGTGTCACCATAAAGTTTTTTCCTTAACAGCTGAAAATTAAATCGTCAAATAATAATGAATTTTAATTTGTATGTACAGGAAAAGTCCTCAGAAGTTTGTCCGCGAGTCTCCGGCACGCACATGTTCAGCGTGGACAACATCCTTAGTGGACGTACGTATCTTACTTATCTTACGTATCTTACTTATCTTACGTATCTTACATAGCATATACGTTGATGTTCTGTATGAATATTTTCTTCTAGATGCTTATTTTTAAACCTGGCTAATTTAAATGAACCGAAGAGTGGAACAAGTTATTTATAACATGTTCCCTATCGTGTTGTAGAGGATAGACATATTGAAGGTATGATGCAGTTGAAGAATTTTCTGTAATGTTATGAGACTTTTATAAGATAAAAATTGTATCTCTTTATAACGAAGAATAAAAATCCATTACAAAATTTCAATGTTTTTAAATGATGCTTAACGGTAATAATATAATATCAATAATAGAAATATCTTATCTCTTCGGCAGGGATACGCTGCGATAAGGATATGGCCGTTCAGTACAAAACATCGCTCCCTCCTGACCAGTTTGCCCAGGAGCCTGAAGTAATAGGCGCAACTACTCGAAACTTCCAAGTTAAATTGGAAGCCAATGGATCCAGCAAATCCACTTCATGCAAGAGAAAAATCCAGAAAGTTTATCCACTTCACTCTGAGACGGCAGATTACCATACGAGCGCAGCCGGTAGATGTTCGCAGCCCCCAACCATTTTTCCTCATTCGGCTGAAGCGACGTTACACAATGGGAAGATGGACGAGCCTGTTGGTGATGGAGCCTATTATTGTGGTACCGAACCGTCCCCACATTCCCCACCTTCCCCATTCTACGATTCGGGCGTGAGTGATTCAGATTCACCTTCCTGTCAAGACCCTAAATGTCTTGAGCCTGCTTTGGGATTCGCAGCTGCAGGCACGGAGTCGAGAGAGGCGTGCGACATGGGAGAGTTCATCGTGGTAGACACGTTGAGTGAGGATGAAACAGGCAAGCCCGATGGAGAATTGGGACCGGAGAAGAAACGCAAAAAGAAACGGCGAGTTCTTTTTAGTAAACAGCAAACGCGGGAACTCGAACGACGATTCTTTTGCTCCTACTACATCTCGCCCCAGGAGCGAGATGCTCTCGCTAAGGAACTTCAAATGGACCCTGATCAGGTGAAAATCTGGTTCCAGAACCACCGCTACAAGATGAAGAAGCTCCAGAAGGAGAACGGTGACAGAGGGTTTACAATGCCGATTCCACACATCCGTGGTGGTCCTTACCCGACCCTGATCCGCGATATGAGAAGACCTGAGCTCATCAAAGATGGTCTGTACTATGACGCCGCCAAGGAACATGCATTAGGGGACTACATCAGAGACACGAGGTTGTTCGACGCAGCTAAGACTCTCAACCCTGCATTTTTTTCAGCCCCTGGGCACCCGAAACATGTAGTGTCGCTGAACAGAATCATGCCGGCATACTCTGCCCCTGTAATGCCACTTGCCCACACCTACCCATACGATATCTCTTTTCAAAATTACTATCTTAATCCTAGCGCACCTTTACTAGGGCAAGGTCAGAACCCTCTAGCTAGAGTTCCCATCAACCCACCGCTGCCTGGTTTGACCCACTCATTACCTAGTGTGCCTCAACATCCTATATTTGCCAATTCTTTACATTTCGTGTATTAAAAAGCAAGACTTCTCATAAATGTATATTGAAATTTAAGGGAGAATAATTGCCGTTACGGTTAGAGTTTTTGACGAATTCTTTCAACAACGAACCCTTGAGGGTTTTTGACTTACAACCAAGCATGTAAATGCATGTATGTATCCCCTAACTCCACGACATCAGTTATATATACCGACTACCCATGTCTACGTATTGATTAAAAATGAATACTAATCCATCCCACAGAGGATCAAATTAAATGTTTATAAGTCCGTCAGATCCAAATGCTGCTTGCTCTCATTTTCTTTATAGAATTTGTGTTCCCAATTGAAACGGTATCGCGTGCAAGAGTGTACCGCCTAAATGGGTTTCTGAAGCATTAGAACGGCTTGTAATTAATTTACTTCCACTGCATTTAAGGACCTTTTTCGTTTTCATGTAAACATTATTTTGTTGAAATATTAAAAAATAAAATTGGCATATATGTGAATTGCTAATCATGTTCTTCTTCTGTTGCAAAATCCAACGGGATGATAGTGAAAATACAATTGCATATTCAGTCCCAAATAAAATTAACATTTAAATTTCTACCTCGCGGTTCTTTGTGAATTTGATTTTTTAAATTTTAAGATCGATTTTCATAAAATGCTGCAATTCAAGTGATGAACAGATAACGTGTGTGCTTTGAATATAATCATACTTCGGTAACACACGAAACTTGGTGCCTTTTTAACACATTTCAAAATATTTACCTCTGACTTTCTATAAAATTTGAAATAGGTTTAAGGAACTAATGTACTCATCGGAAAAGCGGTCCAAAATTAGCAAATATTTTGCGATGTTATCAAAAGTAATGCGCTGTACATTAATGCATTCAGGCTTTGTATTTTCTTGAAAAATGTGTGTAAATATTAATAAGCTGTTGTATAATGTTGACGTGTTTGAACTGTATCATACATACTAAGCACTTAAATACTTAGGATAATTTTGATGTATCATGAACTAAGATGGGGTGGATAGAAGTGTTAACGTGAAAAAGTGTCGTCGAGAATTGAAAACTACTGTTAAGTTTTGCCAAAGTTTAGTAGTTTTAGCGCCGACGATGAGTTAGGCTTGAAAGTGGCGAATGGAATTTGAGTTGATTTTTCAAGCAAGTAAATCATCCGAAACTTCCCGTTTTTCTTTACAAATACCCACGTATAATTATCCACTGAAATTTCTTGAATATTTTGAAAAAAAAAGGTTTTAATTATGCTTTGGCGCGCAAATCTTGCATCGATTAAAAACACTGGTTGGAATGCTCAAAATGCGTGTTTCTAGAAGAATTATATTATGCATTGTAAAAATGTGAATCATTTGCTCGCTAGAGAACGTTTATGTAAAAACGCATATCAACCTTGTTGATTAAAGTGCAAATATAACTTAGTGCCCGCTGGTGAAGTAAGATTTCGAGTTGAAAGGAGTAGTTCTAAACCCGGCGCCTGAAGGTACAAATATTGTGAGAAGGAACATATGTCGGATTTTTATTTGCAAATTCAAATTTTCTGTTAAAAGATAGTAAAACGAATGAAATTCTTACTAACTACCGGTTTAGAAAAAGTCACACATGGATGAGGGTTTCATTCAAATGATTATTATTGTATTGGATTGAGACGATCCCACGAAAGTGAAAGGTTCGTGAGTAACTCATGCCAGGTTTTACTGATGTTACAAATTCAAAAGTCATACTGAAAAAATTACTGAGGCTTTGACCAAATAACGATGCTGTTTCTGCTTTTGTGTGGGTCACCGTGACCCAGCTTGTCTCAGCACAAATGCGAATGAGTGCTACGTCCACTCTGTGCTCGTGCCGCATGTATGAAAGTGCGTCATTATTTAGACATTTCGACCCGGTTATAATTCCGAGTGTATCCTGAAATGAGTCCTCATCTGTTCCATGGAAGTCCTTGACGCCAGCCCGTCTCCAACGCCCCCAACTCAGTCCACAAATTTAAATTGACTGTGTCCGGCTGTACCTGATCTGTACAGTGCCTGGCTGTACCTGATCTGTACAGTGCCTGGCTGTACCTGAGCTGTGCAGTGCCTGGCTGTACCTGAGCTGTGCAGTGCCTGGCTGTACCTGAGCTGTGCAGTGCCTGGCTGTACCTGAGTTGCTCGTAATGAGATGCGCGGACACGACCGACGTGTCAATACTCGAGGTGTCGTCACCTCTGACGTGACGTGACGAGGAGGTGACGAGGAGTTAATAAAGACGTGACGATGTAATGAGATGGTGACGATGTGACAAAGATGTGACGAGGGACACAGAAGAGTCACGAGCTAATGGGGCACGTCATTTGTGATTCGCGTCACTAAGTAGTTAAATAACTTATTAACGACATTGCTGATGAGGTGCAGCACTACAATGATGGCTCATTAAGGAGTTGTGTAGCTGGCAGGGTTGGTCACTAATAAGGCTTATATTTAATAAGGGTTGACACTGCAAGGGTTGTCACTAGTGAGGTGCGTATGATAATAATGCGACCACTAGTGTCACGGTATCAAAGTAGGATGCATAATGAAATGTAGTGACCAGTGACTAGTGAAATTATAAGTCAATGTTAGTTACAATTTTTGTTCAACATGCTACAGATATTCTAAGTTTCCACCTCTGATAAAATTATAATAGAAAATAGGCCTATATATACAAGATTTACTGAAATAGCCTACAGAGTTACATGTAACCTATTATTTTAATTTTAATTAACTTCATCCCAGTTTTGATTTCATTAATTAATAAAATTTCTTATAAAAATACGTCGTAAATCGAAATAAATTTTATAGTATAGATGTTGGAGCTGGCGTCTATACGTGGCATTATAGCCCTTAAATACTGAGATAAAATATCTAATATATGATATGAAGAATGGAAAAATCAATGTTTTCCTGATAATATGTATAATGTGTAATTATTATTTTTTATATCTTATTAATATCTATTAATAAATTATTAAATTAAATGATTGTTTTAATGGTACGCCAATTAACGTAGCATGTATCAACAACTGAAAAATTCGCTGCACAGAAATGAAGACCAAAACAATGTTCAGGATTTTTTTTACATTTTTTGCATGAAAATTCTTAATGGCATCTCCAGCGTGTTTGAATATATGGATGATTTATAATGGCAATTTTTTATGTGTAATATAATTGAAGGAATGCAGCTTACATCAAGCCGTCAACTAGCTACGGTGCTCTGCTGGTGCTCTGCTGGTGCTCTGCTGGTGCTCTGCTGGTGCTCTGCTGGTGCTCTGCTGGTGCTCTGCTGGTGCTCTCCTGGTGCTCTGCTGGTGCTCTCCTGGTGCTCTTCTGGTGCTTGGTGCTCTCCTGGTGCTCTGCTGGTGCTCTCCTGGTGCTCTTCTGGTGCTCTCCTGGTGCTCTGCTGGTGCTCTATTAATTACCACTGTTCAGAATTTCCACTTATAAGGGAGTTCAATTTCCTGGATTACGACTTGTAATTTAGATTCACGGCCACGACCCAAAATATGGACGGAAATCCAAATAGGGACTGAAACCTGGAAGGCAATCTATTGTTTCTTTGGATTACGTGGAGGCGAAGGACAAGCTAGGAAGCTTCATTGACGCTGCGTCCACCAAAACAGAACTTGTAGGTGACGAACGTAAGTACTTATGCTCTATTTTCTTGTCTTTGATTGGCGGATTTGGCTTAAAAGGCCGGACGTTAAGAACCATATCATTGCCCTATCAATCTGAATCACATCTTAAGTCTGACGCATTAATAAGAACCCGTCTCACCTATTAGAACCTCGCCTTAAGCCCCATGTATCAATCAGAACCATGCCGGAGCCCCACTTATCAGAACTCTGCCTTTAACCCAATCAATTAGAACCCAGCTTTAAGCTCCAACAATCAGAACCCACGTTTTAACACAAACCTGAAGTGTAGATGAATTTAACACATCATTCATGAGGTGAATAATACATGATTTACAACCACGTCAAGCATCTGCCATATTATATTCTTGTTTTTTTTTTTAAATTCGCCAGAATTGATGCTTCAAGTGATGCATGATATTACAAACGGCTCATAATGTCAACGTTAGAGCCTTGGCTTACCTCAAGTTATTTTTAATGTGCATTTGAAGCACGACGCTTCTATTGTCTTCATATTCTCGCAAGAAACTGTGCACAAATTAAAGCGACAGAATTTATATTTAGCGGTGTATAAGACGGTGGCCTTGTCTACAACTAAACGCTATGAATATAGAAAAATACATTAACTTTTATATGAATTGTTGCAATATTTGCTGAATATCACTTATTTACGATATGAGATCCTTTGCGAGATTATACAGTAAGATCATCAAACATGATTATACAATGAATTGATTACTCACAACTTGGAATAAATTGCATTTAAAACTTTTATTCTGCAATTTACACTGAAATTCTATGGAAAATAATTACGCTATTGGCAAGGAAACAATCGATTGACTCGACGAAAATTTATTCGATGCTGTCAAATTAACGAAAAAGTTAAACATGAGGCGGGAAAATTAACGGCTTAGGTTAATTAATTACTGAGACTGACATGTTTCTGTGTACAATTGAGCTGGTCCGGACCATGGACTCCGTAAAGCCGGATCAGGTTGGAATCAGGCCGCTGAAAATCCGGAAACCGGACCGAAGAGCGTCAAAGCGTACGCGGGATTGAAGGAAAAAGCAATCGGGCATCGATATACGCGGACGCTGGAGAAGAATTGGGCCACAGTTTGTTGGCAAGTTTGCTTTGTATAGCAAACCTACCATTAGGTGATGGACTAGGTTCAGGTAATTAGGTGAGCTCGTGTCATCGATTTCCGCATTCTAGGCAGGCTCTATGGTTGGATGTTAGTGTATTTTACCGGTATTTACCGGTACTAAACTAAATACCGGTAATAAATACCGGTATCACCAGTATTTATTCCTATGAGGTTGTTCACTCATAAGAATAAATGGGTCATCCATTGCAAATAGTGACACGCTTTCTCACCCTCAGCACCAGCACATAGCGGACACATGCAGCACTGGTCCAGCCTCTGGCTGGGTCAAGCTGCATGGTCAGGAAGAGTCCATGTAAAGGATGGAAATTGCATCGCAATTTGGACTAAGTTTCACTTATTTTTCTGAGTGCAGAATACCGGTGTCAGGTGATTGACCAGCGGTGGCCGTCTATGATTCGCCAAAGATTTTAATCAAGTTTAGAATAGAATAATTTGTTGCATGAATCGAGTCGCTTTCGTTTCGTTTATATTGACGCTTTTCACGTCCATCAGCGATCTCCATTATGAAGCGATGTTGTAAATCCTTCAATAACATCCATTCAGGTGTCAACATTGTAAATCCATCACGAAACCTTCTCCAGGTGCTCCACGCGAAGGTGCTCCATATAAGATGATGCTCCATGAGCTAAAAATGCTCATCTTAATTCGTACGTGAACTCAACTCTGCATATTATAATTAACAGTTCTAAGAACTGCGATGTTGCGGTGAACATTTTCCTTGTTTCAATTGGCCGCACACTCACCAAGTTAGTTTCACTGACTAGCTGAAGCAAAATAACAATTATAACAAACTACCACATCAATTTTAACTAACACATTTTAATATTACGTCTGAAAATGCAAAAAATATTCATTTATATTTCAGGTGATACTTTTCAGGACTTTAACTTTGCATACGCAAAAGATATAACAATCTATATTCTTGAATATGAATGCCGTAAGTATAACTGATGAATAATGGCAGTCTGAATGCTATATATTAAGTTCAGCTTCATTCAACAGCTGCATAAGGTAAAGAAATGTTTGCTTAACATTCTACGCACGCAACATTGCATTGGCTAAATTTCATGTTTTATCTCTTCCAGCGGAGATAAATAAGTGAGATTTATTTCTTACTGCAACAATCATCTCCTTGAATACCAACTGGTCTTTAAGCTGAACCTTGAGGTGATCTTTGAGATTAAGGCTTCGCAGTTCAGCGCCCGACAGGCCGCCTCAAACCTTGATCGCCTTGTGCGGGCCGCGGGCCTTAAACGAACCAATAAATATCCATCCATTTATAGCCCTCAATTAAGCCCTTTACAGTCAACCTTGACTTGAGCCCCACGACTCTAGGCACACACTTACGAC